CCTCCAAGTTGTTGATCATCAACATCATCATGTTGTTCATCAGGTTGAACACTACCATCATCATTATCCCAATTGTGAATAGGCAACCGCATAGGATCAACATCAGTCATAATTCTATCTTTCTCGGGTGTATTATTTTCCACCTTATCAATGTCTATAATGGTTTGGTCTTCCATGAATTGTACATCACGACTTCTAACAAGCTTCTTCTCAACAAGATCATAAAATCTGTAACCAAATTCATCCTTACCATAACCAATAAAGATGCACTGCCTTGTCTTCGCATCCAACTTGGATCTTTCATCCCTTGGAATATGGACAAATGTCTTGCAACCGAAGACATGCAAATGATCATAGCTTACATTTTTGTCAAACCAAATTTTATCTGGCACCTCACTGTTAAGAATAATAGTAGGAGTGAGATTAATAACATGCACCACCATGTATAATGCCTCACCCTAGAAATGCTTGGGTAATTTAACATTTGAGAGCATGCATCTCACCCTCTCAAGCAATGTCATGCTCATCCTCTCCGCTAAACCATTTAATTGAGGAGTTTTAGGAGGAGTCTTCTCATGTGCAATACCATGTTGCTTGCAATAAACATCAAATGGTCCATAATACTCACTACCATTGTCAGTACGAATGCATTTCAGCTTCTTGCCTGATTGTCTTTCAACCAAGGCATGAAATTGTTTGAACCTCTCCAACACCTGGTCTTTTCTTTGCAAAGCATAGACCCATAGTTTCCTGGAACAATCATCAATAAAGATAATAAAGTAAAGTGCACCACAAAAGGATTTCACCTTCAATGGACCACAAATATCAGAATATACCAATTGCAACAACTCTGACTTCCTTGAGGGGAGGATGTTTCTTGAAGGGCACTCTGGTTTGCTTGCCAACCATGCAATGAGAACATTTCTCCAATTCTGCATTTTTTAACCCTTAAAGAACATCCTTTTTAGCTAAGCAATTGAGTCCCTTTTCACTGATATGACTAAGCCTTCGGTGCCACAAAGATGCCTCCATATCCATGGCATTCACACTGTCTTTAGCAACCAAAGCTTTTGTCCAATACAATTTAGATGATTTCTCTCCTCTAGCCACAACCAAGTTACCTTTAGTGGGTTTCCACTTTCCAGAACCAAAGTAGTTATCATAATCACCATCATCAAGCATCTGCACAGAGATCAAATTAAAACGAACATCAGGAGCATGTTTGACTCCTCTAAGCAACAACCGCATCCCCATGTTGGTTTGTAGGAAAACATCACCAACACCCCTCGCTTTAGACACACCATTATTACCCATCTTCAACACTCCAAAATCACCAGAAGTGTAAGATGTGAAGAACTCCTTCCTTGGTGTAACATGCAGTGTAACACCACTAACAACAATCCATATGCTTTCATCTAATACAAGATTAATTGACCCATGGTCATTGAGAATAACAAGATCACCATAAGTAGTAGTAGCAACACTATCATCATCATCATCATCATCATCATCATCATCATCATCCTTTTCTTTTTGCTTACCCTTTTTGCCTTTATTCTCTTTTTTCCACAAAAAATAATTCCTCTGTATATGCCCTGTTTTGTGATAATAATGACACTCCACATTCTTGTATCTGGACCTAGACTTACTCCTACTCTTTTCTCTACCACCCTTCGATTCCTTTTTCAGACTTCTCCCCATGTTTTCAGTGACAAGCACCTCGGACTGAGATGAAAAACCATGTGCCTTCCTTCTCATCTCTTCATTAAGAGCACCACTCTTTACCGCTTGCAAAGAAACAATACCATTAGGGGCTAAGTTGGTAATAGAAACCCAAAATGTCTCCCAAGAGTCAGGTAAAGTGTTCAATAGCCATAATCCCAAAACTTCATCATCGAATTTGATGCCCATTTCAGATAACTGATCTAGGAGCCCTTGAAATTCATTCAAGTGATCTGAAATGGAAGAACTTTCCCTGTACCTCAAATTCATTAGATAGTTTAACAAATACAATTTATTATTCCTTAATTTAGAAGCATACAAGGACTCAATCTTCTCCCATAAAGCTCTAGCATGTGTCTCATTTGCAAAGTGATTATAAACATTGTCTTCTACAAATTGCCGAATAAAACCACACACTTGTTGGTGTTCAAAGTCCCAATCTTCTTCAGACATAGAATCCGACTTTTGAGTAGTAAAGACGGGAAGATGCATTTTCTTCAAAAATAGCAAGTTTTTCATCTTACCCTTCCACAAGTGATAATTAGTGTCATTCAAAGCAATCAATTAGTATTTGCCTCCATCATTCAAGCAAGTCAAATAGCCCCAAACCAAAGCCAAAAGAGCTTTGATACCACTCTGATAGGGAAACAACAAAACAATAACAACACAGAAAAAACTCAAACAGTTATCACAGCGAAAATAAATTCCCCTAACTTGCAATAATCTGTGAGGAGCAACAACCAATGAACAACAATAATAAATCACCAAAATCACACACAAAGACACCAAGATTTTTAACGTAGAAACCCCCTCAAAGCAAGGGTAAAAACCACGAGTTGTCCAGACCAAAGAAATAGTTCCACTATGATCAACAAAGAGTACAAAAAAAGTCTAAATTAACTGCACAAAATAGTGCTAACACCCAGCCAAAAAACAAAGCAATAAAACTTACAAATAGAGAACAAGGAAGATGAAAAACCCCAAATACACAGCTATAGTGCGAACTGAATATCCCCCTACTCAGAACTCTTTTCAACAATCCAATTGTTCAGAATGAAGAATCAGATGTCCCGAACCTGCAGTCAAATTTTCAACCCGATCTAACGGTGAACGAATCTGCAGTATTGATTTTACTGTCGCAGCTCTGTGTAAAAACGAGAATAACTTTCTCTCTTCCTCTCTCTCAAAGTACTGGTGTTCTAAGTGACTTCTGATATTCTCTCTTTTTCTCTCTTGTACTTTAGACCCTCTCTCCACTTAGTTAAGTGAGACATTAAATAGATTTCTCAATTTTGAACCTTTTCTCTGCATAAGAAGGGAGCCTAATACCCAACATTACGAACATGAGGCTTGACTTCAAACAATCTTTCTCGATCAATTTTAACATATATTGCCCCTACCATGCCAGCTCTACTAAGAGGGCCATCTAGAATGCAGCGGAGAGCCTGAAAAAGTCAGAGTTAATTCTAATTCTAAAAGATATCTATGCAAACTATAAATTGCAAAAGAAACAATATTAACCAATCACAAGAGGTAACATCATTTGTAGTAATTCAAAATCTAATTTATCTACTCCTCTCACTACAGTTGAAAAATTGTTATATAACACTGGAAAGGTAAGTTTAGGAGATCATGTCAGCAACCAACCTCATGAATTATGTTAGGTCAATAATCATTTAGATTCTTCTTTTGCTTCAGCAGAAACTGTGCATCCTCATCTGAGTTTAGAATTTTCCATTTCTAACCATAAATAAGAAAGCCACAAATAAATAAATAATTTTGACATCAATTTTGTTCCGATGTAAAATAATTTTGTTATTGGGTAATACTCATTTTATATATAAGCCTTTTCATTATGAAATAACATCAATTTTCTGTTTTCCATACAGTTCTAAAACATAGGAAGTGCTACTGTATCTATAGATATTAAAGGGTTTGGATAAAATAAATTTTAAAAATAAAATCCAAACAACGGATATCTTCGATTAAAAATTGATATTAAATGAATTAATAAAAAAAACTAATTCAAAAAAATTTAATTAAAAGACCAGTTTATATAACAAATTTTGTTTATATAAAAGTGTGACAGAATCACAAAAATTAAAAATAAAAGGTTGTAATTATAATAATACTATAAAAATATTAAAATAAAAGAAGAAATAATAAATAATACAATTGAAAAATTAATTTATACTATAAATTCAAAAAATTAAAACCCAAGAAAAATTAAAACGTATTAAAAAATTATTAATATTAAGCTATTTAATTATAACATATGTTATAATAGGATAAAACATCTAAAAAATATACAAAAAATAATATAAAGATATAATTTTTTTTACAAAGATAAATTATTAAAATTATTAAATTAATATATAAACAAGAAATAACTATAGTAAAAAAAAAAGTCTAGGCTTAGAATTTTCCTAAAATCTATCATTTTACCATCTTTTCTGCCATTTGTTTTCTCCCTCACGATAACTAATGCAAGTTGAAGGGGCCCACTCAGAAATGTCAGCAATGGGTGGCAGCGGAGGTCGCACCATTGGAGGAGTCATTTTCTTGCTGAATAATCTTTCAGTTCAAGATTTTGACCCTGAAGATGACTTCGCTGGGGTAATGCATTGTTCTTCTCTTTTCCCTTTCTTTTACTTTACACATCGTAAGAAGCAAAATCTCTATCTTTTCCTTTTCTATGTTATGTAGATAACACTCTACATAGAAAATGTGTCTAAAAATCCTCTTTTTACACTATTGAGTAGTGGTGAAACATTTCTTTACCGCAAAGCACTATAGTAATTCAGAACTAACTCAAAAGACACACATTTTTTTTTATGTTTAAATATAAACTAATTTTAACTATTTTGTCTTTATTCTTATTAATGATATTTCTCGCAAAATTCTTCTCATTTAATGCATAACCTTTCATATGTACTACTTTTTCTTTTTTACATTTATGACAAAAACAATTAAAAATATTATAGAATTAGTAAAATTTAATACAAATAACTAATTTCCTTTAAATGTTAAATTATTTTTTCTTGTAATAATGATCCGAATGGGTAATAAAATAAACAATGTTTTCTTTCCTTTAATAGGACTGTTGAATGGATAAATTGGATAACATAAATTTAATTTGCAAATAAATTAATTAAAAAACAATGAAACAGTTGAAAAGGAGTTATAATCAACAACCCTAGCATTTATGGGCACAAAAATCTACATTGGACAACATTTTAATAACTTTGAGAAAGAAATTCAAATATACATTTATTTTTATAAGTAGAATGTCATTTCATTTGATTAAGTGTACTACTGTACTTATTTTGTAATTGACTATGACCTTGCAGACCGTGCCCAATCTTCCCTATCGCCTTGAAAATATTGCTGCTACTCATATCTTGGTTAGTGAAGCAAATTACCTTATATTATTGTTTTCTGTCCTTTGAAAATAATGCAATAGGATGAGTTTACTGTAAAGCATTTTGACTAATATGATCAAATAAAGGAATGCATGCTTTAACATAATGGAGTTGTCTTCTTGATCTCCTTTAACATCTATTTTAGAATGCAACAGGCACCACATGATCAATGGTCAATGCAAAGCCAGATATTCTGAACTAACCTAGTCACTTTAAATGATCAGATTAACAATATATTTCGGCATTGTTAATTTTATATAAAGACTTGCATAAATGATAAAACTGAATCTGTTTCTTGTGACTGGTTAATTAACCCACAAAATGAAATTTGTAGAGAATAACAGGCCTAAGATATGCTAGTTGTTAACTATCAACTACAGAAGCAGCTGACTCATCCTAATTAAGGACTTCTATTAGGAACTAATAGCAAACCATACTTAACAATAAAATCAATTTGAAATATCCCTAATGTTCTTCATTAAACCCTGTATTGGCTGCCATTCAAATTGTCGAAGACACCAACCAATACTATAATTGTTATTGCAAATACAAAATGAATACTGTATATCCATCTATATCCTTGGTTAGTTGACAAAATCATAAATTGTAACTTTTATGTTTAATCATTTATGCTTACACATTTTCACAAACTGTTAGGCAACTTAATTTGGCTATCCAAACCTAGTTGGGAATCCAATGGTTTAGTTCAGCAGCCTGAAAGAAGGGGAAAATATTTTATAGGATGCTCAAAAACAAGAAACGGGAGGGAAAATTAATCATGAACCCCTCTCTTGTTTGAATTTTAAAGAGAATTCTATGATTATGCTTTCAGATTAAATGGTTTCTTTGAAATAGTAACCAAACATATTAGATTAAAGCGCTCAAAATTCACCCTGTTCATCCCCAGTGTCGGGTGTATTATATATTCAAGGTTCGAATGTATTAGGTCTACTTGTCATTAGCCGTGAATAGTTGACTAGACTTGTAGCAAAAATGGACTCATTGGGCTATTAAAGGCTGCATGTTTGAGTTTAGGGTGATTTCTAATGAAATACTTAAAGGGTCTACTATGGAACCCAAATATCATACATGGACAAATAAAATTAGAATTTGGTGTAGTCACATAGTTCCTTCCTACGCCATTTTAAATTAGTTCGGTATTGTCACATAATTCCTGAGCTCAACCAGCAGTGCACTTGAATTACCTAACATAACTTTGGCTCAAATTGCACTGCACCAAGTAAAACCAGGGCCAGGCCTTTTCCTAGCAATAAACACCTCAACCTACTACAAAGTTAGCTTTATATAGTTTGTTCATTTTGCAGCATTGTCCATGAATAACTTGTCAACAGACAATCCAATGAGGTCGTCCATCCGGGTTATAAAATAACTAGTGTTTGAATACTAATGATCTAAAGTTGCCGTAGGAAATAAAATCCAATGATGGTTGGCTGTCTGTTAGCTTATTGAACTCAGCATTCTTAAAAATATGACGAATTTGAATATCCTTTACCGGTGATGATCTTAATTAGGATTAAGTTAGAAATTTGACTAAATCTATAAGTATATGAAAAAGGGGTTCTGTTGTGTCAAATTACTTACAAATTGCCTTCTTGTTCTTTACATGAAGCTGATCAATACATAGTTAAAAAGTTGTATTCTGTCCTTAGAAAGCAATGCAATAGGATGTATTTACTTTTAAAACATTTTGACTGACATAATCGTTGAAAGGAATGCATGTTTTGACAAAACAGAGTTGTCCTTTGTCCTTTCACATAGAAATCATGTCAGAAATCCTATTACAACTCCAATTTCTCTGTTAATGCATTTGAGTTTCTGGCCAATCACTACGTTTTACGGCTTAATATGCACGTCGATGATAACTGATAAGACAGCATCTGATTTTTATATAGGCGTAAGCGACTAAGAAATTTGTGTTTTTATGATGCAAGTGCGCTTTTGTCTTTCATTTTACATTGACTGCATGGTATTATTACATTTTCATTCGGAGTTTTGATAGAGGAAGCTATATGATATAAAGTTAGTTACTGTTATTCTGTTTTCAGCCACTGGAACAAATTTTATTAAGTAGACTCAATGCTGCTGGCTTTATACACGCAATCTATGTAAATTTTGGACCCATGGGTTACTATGAGCTCAACCCCAATACGAGGCCAATCACTCAACCTGCGACATTTGAAGCACAACTGCGTAATAATTTTATCATTTTCTCCATTTTCATTTTCCTAGTCCTTTTAGGCTCATGACTCAACAGTCTTTGGTTGCTACTTGCAATGGACAATTTCAATTCTGATAACATTTTACCCCTTTTTCATTGTTAAGAGACTTTTACAAATAATTTTGCAGGTGACTTGTTCCAAGCAGGAACAATTTGTAATCCAGACAACGATGAAGTGATTTGGCGGGTGATATCCAACTTGTCAAGCATACTGTCCACTTTGCCTGCAAACAGTCAAAAAATAGGTAAGAAATATTAAATGTTGTTTGCACTTTTGTTGGTTATCAAATTTGACTGGAGTGATTAAATGACGTAGAATTATGAATTTAGGTTGCTTGCATGGATCTGCTTCTCGTTCCCGAGGGTCCATGAACTTTGGAGACTACATCAGATCTGCTTCTGATGAACAAACTTATGTGTTTGTGGTGCGCAGCTACTAGATAAGAATTGACTCTTTCATTCTATTTTCCTGAATCTGATATTGAAATTGTTAATTTTCTGCATTTCACTTGTTATTTAAAAAATAACATTTCTAGGAAATATTATTTTCTGGGAATGATTTTTGTATAAATTTCTCACGAAATAATTCCCATAGAAGAAAAGAAAAACTAATTTTTTTTTGAAGTAAAAATAAAATTTTAATATAATAAAAATGTCATATTATCTTTATTTATTTATTTAAAATAATAAAATTTTATGATTACCTAGTAACATTTAAAACTATTGTCCAAAATATTTATAATCAAATAAATATTCATGGTTCGTAAGAATTAAAATTATTTATAACTTTCAAGAATCATGAATGAAAAAAATTATGGCATAACAAATGTCTCCTAAGGATATATTTGGTATAGAGACACTGCTAAATACCACGTTAAGGAAGTATTATTTAGTAATTTGTAAAGAAAGTAGCAATATGTGTAAACAATATGCTTTAATCTTTAAATGTTTTCAGGTTGGTCAAATTGACACTCGGATTCAGGCCCATATTGATGATTTTGTGAAAGGTATTGCATTTGTTTTAGAGTTATTGTACTCCTCTATTTCTTCTAACTGAGTCTCTAAATTACACGTGATTTGGCTCCCTATAACAACGTCAAACTATAAGGAAACCAGGATGATCTAATGTGTACCTTTAATTTATTTTCTTTTATTTGCAGTTTCTGATTATGATCTAGTTGCGAATCACTGCTTGAGTAGGATCATCTCAGAAATGGAGATAAAATGGAACCTTTCATAATTCATGTCAGCTTGATTTTGTTCCAAATGTGGCCCTTGCATTTTCTCTGTGATGCTGGACAGTATATTCTCTATGCTCTATAGTTTTTAGTTTAAAACTTCCATTTTAATTGGTCTGTAAGTGAAACTGTTAACGGGTTAGTTCCGGAGATGCACGACTGACACATGCTCAATTATGTACAGTGATTAAGGAGACCAATAGTTTCTAAAGAATGACATCTATATTTTCTACGTAAGACTCCCGATTTTGGTTTCGGTAAGTTCTCTACATGCGCGAAATCTAGTAAACTGGTCATTTTTGCCGGGAGAAGCACATAAATGGTAAAAGAGAAATTGTAGATGTTTCAATGCGAGAAATGAAATGTTTGAGGTTAAAATAGTGGATAAACCACTTTTCCGTCATTTTTTATTTTTAAGATCGGTTTTCGATTTTAAAAGTGTTGATCTTAAAAATTAAACTTTTAAAATCGTTCATACAGTTTATCTTAAAAGCTTGACTTTTAAGATTAATAATATAGTCGATCATACTAATAGCCAATCCTAAAAGTGAATTTTTTAAAAATGATTAGCTTGATTTGAGAAGGTTTTTGAACAAAACTTACAAATGTCTAATACATACAAAATTCAAGAGAATTTTTTTGAAACATATCCAATACATAAATGTATACATAATAAGTTTATAATAAGTATTTCATAAAGTATAAGTCCTAACTAGTCAATGTTTCAATGAAAAATGTAATCCATTATTCCTTAATAATGTTTATGTCTTCTGGTGATAATGGTGATCGATCTATAAATATTTGTTAAAGAAAATTTTAAACAATTAGAAGTATTCAAAAAACATGACAAAATAAAAACTTCCAAAATTGTAAAACTTATTTCAGTCCACCTAGATACTATTTGTGGATTAACAATAGTACGCATTGCCTTCATTACATAGTATCCGCACTCATAGTTTCCTATTTGTTTGAGACTGCAAAAAATATATAATAATTGATTTCAATAATAGTGGTAATTCAAAACAAAATACCTTATAAAAATATCATTACTAGAATAAAATAACTTACTTTAACAGATTGTTTGTGCCTATGTTTACTCATTGACGCTAGTATTCTTTAATCAGTCACTTCTGGCTTGCAGTGAGTATTCTTTGACAAGTCTCTCTAGGCTTTACAAGTATTCTTTCCCTA